CCTCTTCATCCACTTCCTCCTCTTCTATTTTGAACATCTACACGACAGCAAACCACTCCATCAACTTCACCCACCTGGCGCTGGACCACTGGGGCAACCTGTACGTGGGCGCCGCCAATTGGATCTACCGACTAAATGGGAGCACTCTGGCCGTCCTCGAGTCGGTACGCACCGGGCCGGTTTTCGACTCGCCGCTCTGCTCTCCGAGCGACTGCAGCGGCGTCGACGAGTCCTCGATCAGCCTGCGGGCGAACCTCAACAAGGTCCTCCTCGTGGACGAGCTGTCCGCCTCGCTGCTCGTCTGCGGCACCGTCCACCAGGGCGCCTGTCGGCGCCATCGCCTGGGCGCCATCGCCACCGCCGAAGAGCTTATTCCCCTGCCGGTGGCGGCCAACGATGAGAACAGCAGCACGCTCGCCTTTGTCGGCCCGTCCCGCTTCTCCGGCAGCGGGCCCCGGGTGACGCCGGTGCTGTACGTGGCGGCGACCAACTCCCGCCTCGGCCCCTACCGGGACATGGTGCCCGCCATTGCCTCGCGGTCGCTGGAGACCGCCGGCGGCCGGTACCTCTCCCTCCTCGAGAAGTCCTTCACCGACTCGGCGAAGATCGACATCGAGTACCACATGAAGGACTACTTTCTGGTGCACTACGTCTATGGCTTCGCCAGTCAGGACTTTGTCTACTTCGCCACCGTTCAGCGGCGGTCGCACCTGCGCGCCCTCGAGGAGTGGGGCTACATCAGTCGACTGGGCCGGGTCTGCCAGTCCGACGCCGGCTACAGCACCTACACCGAGGTGACGCTCCAGTGCACCGGACCGGATGGCGCCCCCTATCCGCTGCTGCAGGACGCGACGCTGATCGACGCCGGCGACGAGCTGGCCCGATCGCTGCGCATTCCCTCCCGCTCCAAACTGCTGGTGGGCGTCTTCTCCGCCGCCCTCGAGCACACCTCCAACCCGGACCGAAAGAGCGCCGTCTGCGTGTACACGCTCCAGGAGATTGAGCAGAAGTTTGCGCAGAACATTCACATGTGCTACAATGGCTCGGTGGCCAGTCGCAACATGGAGTACATTGCCGGCAACCTGCCCGACTGTCCGAGCAAGGTGAGTACTTTGCTGTTAATTTAGTTTGAGTGGGAAAAAAGAAATGAAAAAGTTGTTAGGTGGACAAATATTTGCTTTCAGTTAGTGAGTAATTATCACAATGTTTGTTTTTGGGATTTGTTTCTTTATTTTGGAGCACTTTTTAGTGTCATTTTTCTTAAGAATGTAAGTGCACTGTCAAGTTAATTAATTTAAAATTCTCATGCCATTGACTCTGTAAAACAAAAGTACAAAATAGAAAAGTAAAGAATCTCAACAAAATAAAACAAAAAATCAAATTGATTTTATGAGAATTTTAGTCTCCTAGCGCCTAGCGCTAAAGTGCTCCGCGCATTCCACAGGGAAAACGAGCTTTTTACTCTTTTCCTTTTATTATTTCATTGTGTGTATTTTGAGCGCAAAAAAAGTAAAACAGTACAAATTAATTATTTCCAATTACTTGAAAAAGTCAAATAATAGCGACAGTGTCATTCAAATGAACTTGTCACATATAATTTTCTTTTTTAAATTGATTTTATTTTGTTTTGTCAAAAATTTTTTGTTATATAAAAAGCCAACAGAAAAAGTTCAAAAGTTTGAAAAAATTTTGTTTAAATCAAGATATTTTTTAAACTTTCAATGAGTGTTTAAAATTAACTTTTGCACTTTAATTTTACTATTTCAGCGAACATCAAACATTGTCTCGTTTTGCTCTGAAACACTGAAAATCAACGGTTCAGTGCCGATCAGTCGAACTGCAGCAGCCACTTATCCCGCCTCAACGCTGACATCAGTTCTCGGTCAGGTGACCTCAAACTCCTACAATGTCCTCTTTGCGGGCACACATGATGGAAAGCTAAAAAAGCTGCTTCTCTCCAACATTGGCCTGGCGGAGGAGTTTGACCAGGTCACAGTTGACGAGGGCCACGGCATACTGCCTGACATGCTCATCGACACAACCGGAAAGTACCTCTACGTGGCATCGCCTTATAAGGTAAGTTCTTTGTTGTGAGAAAAAAATTGATTTTTTTATAAACACATTTATCATCCTTCATCAGATCGTCAAAGTGCTCATCAAGACCTGTCCTGGTTACAGCACCTGTCGGGCCTGTTTGAACTCCCGGAATCCGTACTGCGGCTGGTGTTCACTGCAGAAAACGTGCACACTGCGGTCGAACTGCATTGAAACTCGCTCCACCATCTCCTCTCGATGGCTCTCTGTAGACTCTAACCGCTGTGTTGAGTTTCAGTCAATCTACCCGGAAAATATGCCCGTCAGTTCGGTGGAGAAGGTGAAGCTGGTGATCAACCAACTGCCCCGATTGCCTCGAAACGTCACCTACCAGTGTGTGTTTGGCAGTAATGCGCCCATTGAGGCAGAGCCAATGCCCAATGGACTGATTTGCCAGTCACCGCCCGTCTCGCAGCGACCGAGGTTGTCCTCAGAGCAGGACTTCATCTCTGTTGATCTCTCCATACGGCCTTCAGACAGCAAAACCGATTTTCTTCAGCGTAAATTTATCTTCTACGATTGCAACTTTTACAAGACGTAAGTTGTTGTTTTTTGGATTTTGTGTTTAGTTATTTGTTTAATCACTCAATCTTTTTTTGCGCTTTACAGTTGCACAACCTGTGTTCAGTGTCGCTGGGGATGTCAGTGGTGCTTCAAGGAGAACCGATGCGTCAGCTCGGGTTACCTTTGTGGATCTCAATCGGTAAGAGTGTTAAGAGTTGTTGCCTTGTTAAGGCCACACTAAATTTACTTAAAAGTGGGCTTCCCTGATAAAACGTGGTGAAAGTATACAAAAACAGTTGCTGAAATGTTTATTTTGCCAATCTAATAGCTTACACCTATTCTAAATCAAATATTTAATTACAAAAACTTAGATTAAGTTTTTAATTTTAGTTTTGTTTTTACCTTACTTAAATCTGTTATGTAGCTTTTGAGATAAACGTGCCTAAAAAACTCCAAACAGGCCTCATTAAAACACATGCTTTGTGAAAAGGCGCAGGGAAGCCAACATTTTTTCATCGAGTGTCGCCTTTGTAGTGTGTGAAAACCAAAAAACTAAAACTAATCTCACATTATACTTTTCTTTCTTCACACAGTCAAACTACTCAACGGCTCGATACCCGACAATGGGCCAGCAGGCGCTGAGCAACTCGCAGCACCAGCAGGTGATTCGAAACAAGGAGAGCTGCCCGAGCTTCAACCTGACCCACCGGCAGACGGACATTTCGCTGCCGAGCGGCGTCACCCGTGAGATTACCCTGCCCATTCAGAATGTCGCCTTTGGGAGCGTCCTCTTCGGCTGCATCGTCACCATTGAGGGTCGGCAGAACTACGTTCACGCCCGAGTGGAAAGCAGCAACATCATCTGCTCGCCGAGCAAGTTTGAGTACGTCAGCGAGAACTCCACCGGCTCGGCGACGGTCACCGCCGTCTGGAACAAGTCCAACTACATTGATCAGATTAATGGTAGGACAAATCCTCAAATTGCAACAAAACTATTTTATCCTAACAATGGCCTAACTCCTTCTACAGTGACCCTCTACAAGTGCCGCTTCCTGGGCGCCTACAACGACCGCTCCGACTGCTCCATCTGCCTCAACCTGGACCGTTCCTTTGAGTGCGGCTGGTGCGGCGGCGCATGCGTGCACGCTTCTGAGTGTCGCGAGCCGCTGAGCGCCATCTGTCCGCCGCCGCGCATTGACTGGATTCACCCGCTGTCGGGGCCCATTTCCGGCGGCACGGTGATCACCGTGGAGGGCAGCAACCTGGGCACGACGCTGGAGGAGATTCGCGACAAGGTGCTCATTGGCGGGCAGCCCTGTCAGGTGACCAGTCTGAACATCTCGGTAGCCTTCAGCTGCGTCACCCGGGCGGTGGGCAAGCCGATGCTGGCCGACGTGGTGGTCGGCAATCGAGCCGGCTTCTCCACCGCCAGGGACAAGTTCCTCTTCGCCCAACCGGAGCTGCTCTCCTCTTATCCGAACAGCGGGCCCCACTCTGGCGGCACCCGAATCTACATCATCGGCAAGAGCCTGAGCATTGGCACCAGCCTGGAGGTGTTTCTCGACGAGCACCCCTGTCTGGTGGAGAAGATGCTCGCCAGCTCGACGCAAATTAGCTGTCGAACGACGGCCGCCAAAAACGGCCACCAGCAGACGATCAGCAGGCTGATTGTGAAGATTGACAACGCCACGCTAAGCCTCGACTCGCCCTTTCGCTACCTTCCCGACCCCACTATTCAGCGGATCTACCCGCTGAAGAGCTACGTCTCCGGTGGACGGTCGATGACGGTGGTGGGCACCAACTTCGACACCGTCCAGCAGCCGAGGATGGCCATCTTTGGCATCGACGGCTCCTTCATCAACGACACCGTCTGCGAGGTGCTCAGCGCCGGACAGATGAGCTGCCCCTCGCCGCCGGTCAACGCCGAGCTGATCGACATGATGTACCGGGAGCAGCAGCAGACGGTAGACGGTACCGGAAGCGGTACCACTACGACTGGAGCACAAACTTCTTCCTCCTTTTCGGGAAACGGTCCCCAGCAACAGCAGGAGCAACCTCCTTCCTCGTCCTTTCTCTCCAACGAGCCCAATCCGCCCGCCCAATCGGTCTTTGACAAGATCGCCCTCCGCATTGGCTTCATCATGGACGGCGTGATGACGGTGCGCGACCTGGCCGCCAACTACCCCACCATTCACTCCGATCTCGTCTACGTGCCCGATCCAAAGGTGTTCCAGTTTGAGGAGGGCATCAAAGACTTCAAGGGCGACTCGTTGGTAATTGAGGGGGAAAACCTGCGACTGGCCAGCTCTGACTCGGAGGTGAACGTCACCATCGGCACCGCCCTCTGCAACCTCACCTCACTGGCGCCCAATCAGATCTTCTGCATTCCGCCCGAGGAGCAGCCGGAGCCGACGGACGAGTTTGGTCGTCGAACGCCACTCTACCTGCCACTCGTCGTGGCCCACTTTGGCAGCTCGTTGCGCTACGAAATCGGCTACCTGCGCTACGACTCGGCGGCAAAGGCCTACGAGATCTCCTTCCTCACCATCGGCTTCATCGTCATCTTCTCCGTCATTCTGATCACCTTTGTGCTGGTCTCCTTTGTCTTCATGCGCCACAAGAGTCTACTGGCGGAGCGGGAGTACAAGCGCATTCAGATGCAGATGGACACGCTGGAGAACTCGGTGCGCAGCGAGTGCAAGCAGGCCTTCGCCGAGCTGCAGACCGACATGACCGACCTGAGCAATGACCTGGAGAACTGCGGCATTCCCATACTGGACCACCGGACCTATGTGATGAAGGTCTTCTTTCCCGGCGTCCACGACCACCCGCTGCTTCAGTTCAGGGCTCGCAACGGCGGGGGCGGCAGTGGCTCCAGTGGCTCCTCCACCGCCTGCGCCTACAACATCTACGAGCTGGCGATGGCGCAGTTTGAGCAGCTGATCTACAACAAGCAGTTCCTCCTGTGCTTCCTCAACACACTCGAGTCCAGTCAGAGCTTCAACATTAGAGATCGGTAAGGGAGCTTTGTGTTTACAAAGGCTTTTTAAGCAAGTTTACTTACAAACTTTTTTTCATTTTTTTTCATCAGCGTAAACGTCGCCTCGCTGCTGATGGTCATCCTCATGGAGCGGATGGAGTACGCGACGGACATCCTCCGAACGCTGCTCTTCCAGCTGGTGGAGAAGTCGGTCAACTCGAAGTACCCGCAGCTGATGCTCCGCCGGACCGAGTCTGTGGTGGAGAAGATGCTCACCAACTGGCTCTCGCTGACGATGTACGACTACATGAAGAACTACGCCGGCTCACAGCTCTTCCTCCTCTTCAGCGCCATCAAGCACCAGATCGAGAAGGGCCCCATTGATGCAGTTACCCACGACGCCCGGTACTCGCTCTCCGAGGAGCGCCTCCTCCGCGAGCACTACTGCAACTACGAGCAGATGTTCCTGGTGGTGGCGCTGCCCGACCGCCCCCACGACAAGTACCACGTCCGCGTGAACGACTGCGACACCATCAGCCAGGTAAAGGGGAAGGTCCTGGACGTCGTCTACAAGAACACGCCCTTCAGCTGTCGGCCGGCGGTGGGCGACTTTGAGCTGCAGTGGCGCGACCCCTGCACCGGCGCCCACCTGCAGACGCTGCAGGACACCGACCAGAGCACCAAGCGGGAGCAGCCGCACCACCTTTCCGCCAGTCGGCTGAACACGCTGAAGCACTACGGCGTCAAGTCCATGGCCCTGGTCACCATGGTCCCCAGGCAGCAGCTTCTTCAGCAGCACCACCACCAGCAAACCATGTACGGCAGTCGAGGAATCAGTCACCACCACCACCAACAGGGCGGGACGCTGTACCTGCAGCATTCGGGCAGTACGAAGAAGAGCTCCTCCTCCTTTTACCCACTCCTAGGCAGCCCCAACAGCAGCGTCTCCAACGGCTTCGGCGGCGGCGCCGACTTCACCGACAGCGACCATTTCTGGCATCTGGTGAAGCCCTCCGTAGATGAGATGTCCGGCAAGGAAGGAGGCGGCTCTTCTAGCTCCTCTTCCGCCTCAGTCCTCATGCACAAGGCCATTCCGGAGATCTTTCTCACGCGACTGCTCTCCACCAAGGGCACCATTCAGAAGTTTGTCGACGACTTCTTCAGGACGATTCTCGTGGCAAATGATGCGCTGCCAGGTATGAATCTCATGTTTAAAACAAAAAGAGACCGAATCTAAATTTTTTTTCTTGTTTTCATTGCTACTACTAGTCTCTGTCAAGTGGATCTTTGACTTGCTGGACGAAGCTGCCGTTCTCTACAACATCCTTGATCCGGACGTGGTGCACGCCTGGAAGTCCAACTGCCTGCCCCTTCGCTTTTGGGTGAACTTCATCAAGAATCCCAACTTTATTGTGGACATCAACAAGACGGCCACTATTGATTCGAACCTTTCTGTGATTGCACAAACGCTAATGGACTCCTGTTCCTCCTCTGATCCTCGACTAGGCAAAGTAAGTCGCTGAAGCTCAATTTACTGCCATGATTTAACTTATCTTTACATTTACCACTTAACAGGATTCGCCTTCTAGTAAACTGCTTTTTGCCAAAGACATTATCACTTATCGAAAACAAGTGTTGCAGTTTTACCATGACGTCTACCACATGCCTCCAGTTCATCATGAAACACTGATCTCATACATGCAATCTTTAAATCAGGTGCGTCAACAAGCTACATACTTGAAAAAAGAAGTTGAAACTAAAATTTTATTTTTTTTATCACTTACAGGCCCACTCTGGTGAATTTGACACTGTATGCGCATTGAAGGAGCTTTTTGTTTACGCCGTCAAATACTCAAACGAAATAATCGTGAATCTGCAGCAGTGCGACTACGTCACGCAACAGCAATCGCTTGACAAATTTATCAACCTGATTAACTACAAATTTTAAAAAAACTGCCAACGTAGGCACTTGTTACTTGTTATCTTTTTTGAGCTATTTGTATTTTCTTTTCTCATCAAGATAAACTATCTCGACCTTAAAACTATTATAACAAGGTAAATGTCGAGCGAACATGTGACGCACACACAAGCACACTTTTCTTCCGTTTCTTTTACTTTTTCATGTGAACAAAATGTGATTTTAGTCAACTGGTAAAGCAAACACCTTTTGACGCCTGAAAACTGTTTTATTCTTTAATTTTTCATTTTTAAAACTCCAGTCATTTATTATTTTTTCTTATTTGTACATTTTACTGTTCATTAATGTCATTCATTTTTGTGTACATTGTTTCGACTGTTTAAGTTATTTTCACAATTCAATTTTTTATAAACTGTACATTTGTAAATTTGTAATTTAAATTTTGATTTATCATTGTAGAATAAATGCAACATTATTTTTTAAACTTTTATTTTATTCAATAATGTCAAGGAATTTTCCTTGAGGTGATGGCCTCTGACAAGGCCATTCG